ACTCCCACCAGCATTTCATTTCCCAAGTGAAAACCTGTGGAGGCAGAAGGATTGAGAATATCTAATCACATTTGTCTCCCTAGAGACTTCTTTGCTCTGCAGCAGTTAGAAAAAGCTTAACAAACATCAGGGCTTAACTTTCTTCTCTCTCCTCCAGCCTGAGTGAACAATTATCCTAACACCAGACACAACTACCGATCACTGCACACCTGTCCTGGCCCAGGTGCTGTACTATGTATTTTGCATACTGAATCTCATCTTTCCTAACCACAACTCCTCCAGAGAGGTATATTGCCCATTTTACAGATAAGGAAACTGACATTCTAAGCAAAAGTAATCTACTTATGATCACACAGCTGGTCCATGGTGGATCGGGGACTAGAGATCCAAACCCAAGCAATTTCAAGAATTGGAACAACCAAACAAAAACTTTGCAGACCAGATGTGGTCTGAGAGTCACTGGGTTGAGACCTCTGATGGCTGTTAAGCTGCTTTGAAAACTTGAGAGTGCTTAGAAATACAGTAGATTGCTTTCATTATTCAGAATAATAAGTTGTATATTATGTGCCAGGTATTGAATTTTGTATAATTGGTTGAAGAATACGAGGGACTTGCAAGCAGGTGCTCTGCCTGCCTGCTTGCTTTTTCTTTTACACTTAATCAGCTCCAACTCATGGGACTTGTGTGAGATGCTGGGGACATAGTGAGATTCAGATAGTCACATGGTTCCTGTCCTCAAGCAGCTCCCAAATAAAGATACTTCCACTGTCACTGGAGGACATGGTTCCTGTCCTCAAGCAGCTCCCAAATAAAGATACTTCCACTGTCACTCCCTTCTGTTAGGGAGGCTTGGGAAGGCTACAGAGGATAGACCTCTAATGCAGTCAGGGCAGTGGAGAGGGCCAGGTGGGTCAGGGAAGGCTGTCTAGACAAATACTCTACAATGGCTAGTCCTGACTCCTACAGGGACTATGAACTAATTTAGTGCATAGCAACCTATATTTAACAGAAATAAATAGAGGAGAAAAAACCATAATACATTGTATATGCAAAGATACACACATGTGCATGCATGCATGTGTATGTGGGAGAGAGAACGGGGCCATGATATAAAATTCTTTACTGTGAGCTATATAGTCAGAATATGTTGCCTGCCCTGATCCTTTGGCATGCTGTAGGTGTTCAAAGCCTTTTTGAGGAGTGGAAGGATGGATTTAAATTTTTATAGGCTGAGGCAGGGGGATGGCTTGAGCCCAGGAGTTCAAGGTCTGCCTGGGCAGCAAAGCAAGATCCCATCCTTCACACAAAAGAAAAATGATTTGCACAGCAATCCAGCAAGGTACCACCCTTCCCAATTAAGAAAGATGTTCTCCAACACCCACATCCAGTAAATTGAGCATGTTTTTAGTTTAGCAGCAGCTGGGTTTTATCAGTTAGGCCTAAAGCAAGCTTCTGACTAGGGAAAATGAGCCCACAGGAGACAGGGAAAGAGCCGAGGTCTGAAGAGAGGCCTGAAGGGGAACTGAAGGCAACTCTTTGCTGGTGCCCCAGTCTGTGACCTGCTAAAAAAATAAGTGCCCAGCCCTGACCCACCCAAGTGGCATGGCTTCTTAATAGCAGTGGCAGAGGCACTGTGTTTACTGTGGGATGGCCTCAGTCACCCACGCCAGGCCCAGAGAGCCACTAGCTCCTGCCTCAGGATGCCAACAGGAAGCACTGTTTATGGAGGCAGATTGGAGAGAAAGGCCCTGAGCAAGACAAGATGGACAGAGTGCAGGTCAGTCCCTTGCAGAGGGACATGAGTCAGGGGTAATGACTAGGTGTCCAAGAACAGAGGCTCCCTTTTAGTGGTTTTCAGGACACTCTGAACTTGGTCCATCTTATAATATCAGGACCAAAATATCCTTTGGCTATATTCTCCTCCATCCTCGACTCTTAAGGTTGGAAGCACCCTAGAAATTATCCAGCCCAACTCCCTCATTTTACACATGAAGAGAAAGGGGCCCAGAGAGGGAAGGCACTGATACAAGGTCAGCCGGCAAGCAGCCGGCAAGAGAGGTAGGGCCAGGACTGGGAATCCAGATGCCCCTCTCCCACCATCTTACCAGAAAGGTCTTCTATCTAATTTTGCCCGCTTTGGCCTCTTCTCTAAACAGAGAAGTCTTTCTAAAGGACAAAGCACTTACTAGGCTATTTGCTAAGACTTTCCCTTAGTCCCCACTGTCACATGGCGAAAAGACACTCAAGATCTTTCCCACTGCTGTAACCCGGACTCTTGGGCTTCCTCTCTTGCTCTTTTCCCACTCACATTACATAATCTCATGATCCTGAACTACTTGGGCTCCCTAGAGGTAAAATATTCTCTCCCAACTCTAAGCTTTTACATGTGCTGTTTCCTCTGTTTTTAACACTCTTCCCAACTTTGGGTATTTTTCTGCTCTTTTCTAGGTTTCTGAATAGATTCTGGTTATTCCAGAAAACCTCCCTGGCCTGCTGGCCTCCAGACTTAGGTGTCCCCACTAACTTCTCTGGCAGTGACTCTATTATTATGACTTACTGTACCATTAGTTTCTCTGCTTCTTGACAGATGATTCTGACATTATCACCACTACCATGCTTAACAGGAGCCAGATTCACAGCTGGTACTTGACAAATACCTGCAGACTCTCAGTGTCCATCATTCTATAGGCTTCCTAAGAATGGTCTTCTCTTCCCATGATGTGTTATTAGCTTAATCACCAGGGATGGCTTCTTCTGCCCACAGGATTCTGGGAATCATCATTTCTTGTTCTCAAGTCATAACATGCTTTTTTAATGCTTCTGTGATGGACACAATCTCTACCGGGCCTCTATCTCATTTCTCCTTTGGGGGAGAGGTGAGGTATCTTCGGGAAGAATGATTGCAACTCGTTATACAAGAAAGCATAGAGAACATGTCTGTAGAGGGCGGGTGAGGATGTGGACTGGGCCAAATAGAAGCTGCTCACTGGCCCCCTGTACTCTGCTTTGCCATGCGGGGCCTGGGGCTGACTGGACTACACTTCTGCTTTGCCGACAGCTCTTGCGGAACCGAGGAGTCACATTCTTTTCTCTTCTGCTTGATGTTCATGTCAGTGTTGCTCAGAGTGACACTCATTTCATGTCCAGTTTCCAGGAGTTTTTTGTTTTTAACCTACACTCCCAGAGTCAGCTTCATCCTTCTTTTTGGAGGCTCTGCTGACCAGTGTACCCTTCTCAGAGGCCAAGGGTCCCAGCTCTGCAGGGCCCCTCCTGAGTGCTCCCAAAGAGCCAGCCCGGCTGGACAGTGCCCTCTTGGAGGCCTGACTGTGGTTCCTTGAGGTCCCTCCATGGACCTTCCAGATCCTCCTAACCCAGGCTCTTGATGCCGGCCCGAGTCCTGGAGGCAGGACTCCTCCTGCAGCTGCTTGCTCTGCTACCTCAATGCTACCATTTGCCTTTTGGGTTTCCAATAGCTACTTAGCGGAGCTCCCGATATTCAGTTCTTTCTGTTTTCTGGCTGGCCCCTGACTGATACAAGTGGAAACAAGGTAGACAGTCCCTTCCCACATGGATCTGACAGATATTAAGCAAATAATTACAGAAATGAGTCGTTAATTACAGTTGAATTTTGGATACCTGAGGAAAAACACAAAGCCTTTTTGCATATCAAAGTCCTGAGAAGCCTTCAATAAATAAACCTGGTCAGGACTGCTGGATGTGACAACGCCTTAGCTCATCTGACCAGGGAAGCCCGCAGTGAGCCTGTGAGCATTCAGCAGAATTAGTGCTCTACAGAGTAAACAGTGCTCTGTGTTCATGGAGAAAGACTTTAAAGAAACATGAGTCAGGACAGTCGGGGAGCACACGTTGGCCCGGTTCCTCCAATGCCCCAGCTCCGGGATTCCAGCCACAGACATGTCAACCATTTGCTTTGCTCTAATACCTTCCTCAGAGGCAACTTTCTGATCATTATGGCTGTCATTATTGGAGAGGATGCTGTCCACAACCAGTAAATCCATTCTGGTCCATTCGTGAGTTTCTTTCTCATGACAGAGCAAGGTTTCTGGACCTGAGTCTCTAGAGGGACCAACGATCCCTTAAGACCATATGCAGAATGTGCGTGTGAACATGTGTACTTGTGGGCATGCATGTGTGGGCATCAGGTCCCACAGCTACAGTTATTCCTAGTGGACTGTGACTCCAGGAAAGGGATTAAACGTTAAGGGTCATTGCATTACACAAAAATGTTCATGTTCTTATTTGTGCGCTGGGCTCCTGTGAGTTAAGGCACTGTACATCAGTCCTTCTCAGCCTGCTCAGCTTTGTGTTCACTTCCCCACTTGAACCCTCCAGCTGGCTGTGCCCAGCGGCCTTCCTGGGCCACGCGGCATTGCTCCTCCCTCTGCCTGAGTCCATGCTCCTTCCTCTGACAGGAACCCTTTCCCCTTGCCTGGGCTCAATTCCCAGTTACTCTTCAGGCCTCCACTTAGTTGTCATATCCTTGAAACCTTCTTTGACGGGCCAGTTCTGAACTCGGAACTCCTTAATCATGCTTCCATAGTACCGCTCCCACCTCTCTGGGACACCTATTTTCCCTCCTCCCAGGGCCATACTTTTCCTTCTGGTGGTGCCTACTCTATGACACAATCAATTGTTTGCAGGCCTTGTCTGCTGCCTGTTCGAATCGAAGCTCCTTAGGGAAAGGGATTCGTGTCTAGCTTTGCTGACCAAGCCCAGTGTCTAGCACAGAATAGGTGTCCATTACATGCTATTGAAGGAATGCATGCAAAAATGACTACTTCGGTCCTTTCAATGCTACACTCACTCGTGCCATCACAGTTAGATGTCCTTGACCCCACTCGAAGACTATGTACAGACTTACCAGCACAAAAAGTCCAATTTTTGTCTTGTCATCAAAAAGTTCTTTCTGATCAAATGCAAAGTCTTATATGTGGATAAAGAGAAGAGAAAGCATGCCAAGGGTGTCAGAATAAACCCACCTGCGTTTCTCAGAAAGCGGTTGCTATAGTCCTTAATTATCCGCGTGTTGGGGTCGTAGAAGCCATCTCCACAATCATAGGAGGCTGGGGGAATTGTTCTTGGTGGGTCCATGTTGGTGAGTTGAGAGATACCTTGAAAAGGTACAACAAGCGATTAGTTTACTACCAAGGCCCAATCCAAACCAATGCCCCCTTGAGACCCACTGTGGATGGATGCTCATATTGAACTAAACGTTCCCTGGGTTAGAAGAAAACCAAGCAAGAACAGAGACGCAAGGAGATTTCTGAAAATGGGCCTGTGGGCAGGATCTTGGGAATGCTACTCTGTCTTTCTCCTGATCCCTACTCTTCTCCTTGCTCCTCTCCTTCTTGGATTACCTTGATAAAGGATTCAGGTTCTGGAGTCAGTGAGACCCTGAGCCTGATTCAGAGTTGCCCAGGTGGACAGGAGGGCAGGTCCAGGAGAGGGATGGCATTCAAAGTGTGGGCAAAGGCCACAGGTATGAGTCCTCCAGCTTCACTCAGAAACCTTGTGGAGCAGAGTACATAGGAGGGAGAATACAAGGAAGGAAATGGGTCAGGGGGACAAGGGTCAGAGAGTGGAGAAACTTGACTCTTACCTAGTTACCACAGTGGCTGCCATTTATTGAGTGATTATTTGTGCCAGGCATTATGCTTCTCTCATTTCATTTGCTCCTCAGAGCAACCCTGTGGCTCCATTTTATAGATAAGAAAACCAGCCGGTGTGGTGGTACACACCCGTAACCCCAGAGCCTCAGGAGGCTGAAGGCAGGAGGACTGCAAGTTGGAGGCTAGCTTTAGCAACTTAGTGAGGCCCTAAGCAAGTTAGTGAGACCCTGTTCCAAAATTTAAAAAATAATTACGAAAGGTCTGGGGATGTGGCTCAGTGGTAAAGTGCCCCTGGGTTCAATCCCTAGTATAAAAAAAAAATTTATGTGTGTGTGTGTGTGTGTGTATAGAGAGAGGGAGAGAGAGAGAGAGAGAGAGAGAGAGAAAATGATGCTCTGAGAAGCCAAGGGGTCAAGAGGAACAGAGGTAGCATTCCCAAGGTAACTTGACCAAGGTTACCCAGCTAGGAAGCAGTCTGGCTCTGGAATCTGTGTGCTAAGTGCCTGTATCAGGAGAGGCAGGGCCTGGGTGCAGCCCCAAGACATGGACCCTGAGATGCCCAGGAGGGAAAAAGGAGTGAAAGCACTTTGTGTCGTCAGCACCTTGAGTGTTATCTTGGAATGCTGTGGCCTGAGTATAGGAAGAGGTTGGAATAAATAACTTCTTAAGTTCCTTCTAATTGTAGACCCTGTCATTCCCTGTTCTCTGGACGGACAGTTGAATGCCCACATCCACACTGCCTCATGTTCACAGCTCAACGTCCTGCTGAGTAGGTGCTCTAATGTTGGCTAATGATAACCCCTGGCCCTGACCCCAACACCATGCATATTGGCTAATGATTAATGAGCATTTATTCCATGCTAAGTTCTTTACAGTCATTCTCTCACTGAAGCCTCAGGCCAATGCCCATTTCACAGATGCTCAGAGAAGTCAAGGGTCATCCCTAACCATCACCTTGCCAAGCAGCAGAGCTGCCCTAACAATGCCTGCCTTCTGAGGCAGAATGCAGAGTGATATGGGAAAGGAGTGGGCTCTTAGGACAAAGCTCCTCTACTGGGAGTTCCTGGAGGAGAAGGGGAAGGCCAGAGAAAGGTCACCACACTGCCTCTGAGACTGGCAGAGGCTCCCCTTTGGTGAAACCAACTGCCATGTGAGGGCTGAATTCTCTTCACCCACACGTGGGCTCTTTGTCCACAGGCCTCAGTTGGGGTAAAGAGCTCATGACAAAGTCTAGGCCCCATCACAGTCACAGCTAACCCAGGAGGAGAGTGATACGCAAGGTTCTCAAGTTAAACCTAGGCTGGCAGCTCTGGGTCCTCCCCTGCCAGCCAAAATGGGTTTGTTGATGTCATTACCTTGATTCCTCAAGTGTACTTCTCTCCCTCCACTGTGATGTCAGGAGTATTATCCCTTTGACAGAAACTCTTTACAGAGCTCCTCCTATATGCCAGGCAATCTGTCCCTTAATAAGTCCAAGCTCTGTATTGGTGCTGCTCACAGCTGGCTTAGGAAGATAGAGCCAGAACACTCCTGATCTCAGCTCTGGAGGAGGGTCACAGCTGCTTAGTGACATGCCATGGGGAGACCCCACCCAGTCTAGAAATTCAGGGAAGGGGTTTCTGGAAAAAGGGACATAAAACTGAGACCTGAAGGTTGGGAAGGAGTTATTTGAGTAAAGTGGATGGGTTAGAGCATTCCAAGTCAAAGAACAGCAGGAAAAAGCTTGGGGTCTGTGAGGAACAGAGAGGAAGCAGCCATGGCAAGAGCAAGAAGGGCCGAGAAGGGTGGGTAGCTAGGGAGAGCTTGGGGACATCAGCAGGAGCTGGTGAATGAGTTATTTTTAAGAATTTGGACCCTTGTTGGAAGCAGTGGCTCATATTTGTAATTCCAGTGACTAAGAAGAGTGAGGCAGGCAGATCTGAAGTTTGAGGTCAGCCTGAGCAGCTTAGCCAGAGACATGGTCGGTCTCAAAACAAAATATAAAAAGGACTGGTGATGTGGCTCAGTGATAAAGTGCCCCGGCTTCAAATTCCAGTCATGAAAAAAAAAAATGAATTTGGATCCTTACCTTTGGGGTGGTAGGAAATACTCAAGGTTGGAGGTTTGGGAGGTGGTAACCAAATTTATACTTACCAAAGATGCAAGTGATTGCAGAATGGAGACCAGCCCAGGAGGAAGTGTGGGATCTTTTTAAAATTTATTGTTTTTAGATATACATGATAATAGGGTATATTTTGACTATATATATATATATATATATATATATATATATATGCAACCATTTACAATTGATGCCATTCTTGTGGTTGAACATGATGTGAAATTACACTGGTTAGGTATTCACATATGAGTTTAGGAATCAAGTGGGGATCTGAGGAGGTTAGGTAACCCAGGGGAGCAATGAAGGAGGTCTGGAATAGGCCATTGGCAGAGGATGAGCAGAGCTCTGACAGAGGTTCGCACAGAGGTGCTCAGTATCTGTTGAATGAACAAATGAAGGAACATATTTGAGGTAGAATCTTAGGACCAGGTGATCTATTGCACGTGGGGCAAAGGGAAGCTGAGAGGTAGCTTATCTGACACTCACTGAGGTAGTCATCACTGGGGAGACAGGGTTGGTGAGATGGTATTGAAACCAGGGCAGACAAGTTGAGGGACAACCCATGGAAGGGAAGCTGGATGGAAGAATCTGAGTCTCGGGGACTTTGATTTCAATTTGGAAGCTGATGGCAGTTGAAGGTTAGAAGTGGAGGGAGGGGGATAGAATACTTACTACTGATGGGAAACCTCATCAGAAATAATGGGGGGTGTTGAGATGAGGAGACACAGCGAGACGAAGAAATGGGGGAGCAAGTGTCAGGACAGGAAAGGGAGAGAAGGCAGGTCTCTTGGCCCAAGGTCACAAAGCCAAGAAGTAAAGCAGCTGGGGATTTGAGTTCAGGTCTAGCTGATTCTAATGCCTGGATGCTTTCTGGAAGTTTCTTCCTAGTTGGAGAGTGACTTGTCCAAGTTTATGCAGCCATTGAGAGGGAATGCTAGGATGGAACTCCGACCTTCTGGCTCCATCATGCTGTCAATTGCACAACACTTTTTCTCCTAACCTAAATTGAGATTTTTTTTTTTTTTTACAGTTTTTGAAATCACTTTGTCACCTGTCATTTGGAATGTATCTCCTCAGCTGTGCTCAGAACTATGCTCTACTTGAGATGCACCCAACTTTACATGAGTCTTAGAAACACAGAGAGCCCCTTAAACCACTATTCCCTGAAGGCAGACTCTTGGTCCAGCCGCAGCCCTCTGGGTTGGAGATGGGTTTTGCAGGGAGGTATTGTGATACAGAGAGGAAGACTTGGCTCCCAGATGAACTCTGCCACCAGGAAACGTGTCCAAACTCTATGACCTCAATTTTCTCCTCTGTGACATGGGACTGGGAAGGCTGTCCAGGAGGGTTCTCAGGAGAGTCAAGAAGACAGGAATTCCATGGAGTCTCTCCCAGCACCGGGTCCACAGAGCACATACTCCATTGGTGCTGCTCTTTGCCCTTATCTTTCACTTTTTTTTAACTATTTATGTATTTTTTTTTTTTGTACCAGGGATTGAACCCAGGGGTGCTTAACCACTGAGCCACATCCCCAGCCCTTTTTTATATTTTATTTAGGGACAGGGTCTCACTGAGTTGCTTAGCACCTTGCTAAGTTGCTGAAGCTGGCTTTAAAATCGCCATCCTCCTGTGTCAGCCTCCCCCTGAGCCTCTAGGATTACAGGCATGCACCCCTGTGCCTGGCCTGTTTACATATCTTTAGGGTTGCAGTAGGTACCATAAATAGAAACAGCTACCATGTACCATGCACCTGCCAGGCACCTGCCAAGCACATGCGAGGCGCTGTTCCATGCACTTCATAGGAATTATCTTATTGACAACCATCTTGTGAGGTAGATGATGTTATCGTTCCCTTTTTGGAGGGGAGAAGCTGAGGTGCAGAGGGGCAGTCCCTTACTCACAGTGCCCGGCTAGTAGATGGAGCTAAGATTTGAGGACTGGCCTTTCTGGCTCCAGGACCTGGCTCTCTTGGGTTCTGCTGCCTCTGCTCAGTTCCTCCACTCCTTGGGTTACTTCAGTAGGCCATGACACTATTTAACACTGCTTTAGTTTCCCTCTCAGTTTGGGTGTGAAGGAAAGGGCAGATGCCTGGATACCTGAAGGCTTCAAGCCAAAGCAGATCTCCGTGTAAAACCTCCGGTCATAGCCATCGCAGTAGTGCCAGTTCTTAGCATCGTACTGCAGCCCATCTGCAAAGGTGTATGTGCCCTGGAAGACAAAGAACACACATGCTCTTGAGGAAGCAGGAGACTTTTTGCAGAGAAGGTGGATGTCAAGGAAGAGGTGGGTTCTTACTGCCATAGAAAAGAGGTGATGATCGTCACAATTATTATGGTTGTGAGGACTGGAGGGAATGGGTATAAAGTTCTGAGCTCTGTGCTTGCCACCCAAAGGATGGGAACTCTGTGAATTTAGGTAGACAACCCATTCTCTTGGCCCTCAGTTTTCTCATTTGTAAAATTAGAATAATGATGGTGTGTATTTAATAGGGGCGATTGAGAATTCAATGAGAGGTGCAGGTAAAGCACTTAATACAGTGCCTGATTGTGATAGTTAATTTTATGTGTCAACCTAACTGGACTAAGCAATGCACAGATAGCTGGCAAAATATTTCTGAGTGTGTCTGCGAAGGTGTTTCCACAGAGATTAGCATTTAAGTCAGTAGAATGATTACTTTAGATTGCCCTCACCAGTGCAGGTGGGCATCGCCAAATTGTTTGAGGGCTTAAATAGAACAAAAAGGCAGAAAAGGGACCAATTCTGTCTCTCTGCCTGAGCAGGGACATCAATTTTCTCTTGCTCTTGGACACCAGCACTTCTAGTTCTTGGGCCTTTGCACTTTGACTGGGAATACATCATTGACTCCATGGCTCTCAACCTTTGAGTTTGGACTTGAACTTCACCACTGGCATTCCTGGGGCTCCAAATTGCAGAGGGCAGATTGTCGGACAGCCTTCATAATCTCATGAGCCAATATCTCTTAATAAATCTCTCTCTATATATGTATAGTGTATATATACATGTGTTTGTGCATGCCCTTTTGGTTCTCCAGATAATTCTACAGACATATTAAGCACTCATAAAGTTACTTATTTTTTTTTAAAGAGAGAGTGAGAGAGGGGGAGAGAGAGAGAGAGAGAGAGAGAGAGAGAGAGAGAGAGAGAGAATTTCAATATTTTTTTATTTTTTAGTTATCGGCGGACACAACATCTTTGTTTGTATGTGGTGCTGAGGATCGAACCCCGGCCGCACGCATGCCAGGCGAGCGCGCTACCGCTTGAGCCACATCCCCAGCCCCATAAAGTTACTTATTATTCTTTTATTATCACAGCCGAAAGTTCAGCACCATCAGCCACAACCCTTTGTCCAAACATGTGCGTTCTGCTTTTGCTGCATCCATGCTAAAGGGAATCTCAGGATGCAGAATCTACACTGGCCTAGGCATCAGGAAACATGGGTGGAAATTCCCACAGTACTATTAATTCACTGTGTGACCTTGGGTAAGTCATATCCCCTTCCTGAGGTTTAGCTTCTCCAAGTTATAAAATAAGAAGTATTTCTTAACCTTTTTTAAGGTTATGAGTCAGGGCCCAACACACCCAGTGAAACTTCATGAAAGCTACGGATTCTTTCCCAGAGAAAAACATACTCCCATACACATAGAAACTTTTGTGCATAAACCAGGTTCACTGATCTCTGAATTCTATCCATGGGCCACAAATTCCAGGTTCAGACCCCTTGGATTAGATGATGTATGACAGCAGCAGAGCTAGCGCTTATTGAGTACCCACTCTGTGCCAAGAACTTGGCAAAGTGCTCACATATTTTGCTTTATTTATTCTCACAACCTCCTAGGAGATGCCTAGTACTACTGTGGCAGGCTGAATAATGGCCTCCAAAGGGGTTCACATACGATGGGACTTGTGATTATGTCAACTTGCATGGCAAAAAGGACTTTGCAGATGCAATTAGATTAAGGATCTTGAAGTGGGGGAGATTCTCCTGAGGTATCTGGGTGCACCAAATATAATCACAGGGTCTTTATAAGAAAGAGGTAGGAAGGTCCGAGTGACAGAAAACAAAATGATGCAAGCAGAGGGAGGGAAGAGGATGTGACGAAGGAAGCAGAGGTGGGAATGAAGCATGGTGAGGAGCCAAGGAATGCAGGCAGCTTCCAGAGGCAAGGCAGCACATTGTCCCCTAGAGTCTCAGGAATGCAGCTCACTCAGTTTAGACTGCCAACTTCCAGCTCTGTGAGATAATAAGTCTGTGCCTATTTAAGACACCAAATTTGTGGTAATTTGCTGTAGCAGCAATAGACAATGAATACAACCAATGTCCCTGGTTTACATATGAGGAACTCTAGTCTCAAGAGAGGTAAAGTCATAGGCCCAAGGTCAAATAATAAGAGGCATAGCAGGATTCAAACTCATCATAGCCTCCTCAGGGACCATTCCAGATTGAGAGGGAGAATATTCTAGAATATCCTAGAGAATATTCTGGGAAATCAAGAAGTGGGAGAGATATAACATAGATATGGGTGGGTGCTAGACAGGGAGGCAGAGCATCACAGCAGTGTAGGGGGGGCTCTTCCTGTCCAAGGATCCCTCTCTGCCTCCCCCATCTGTTCACCTTGATGGCCAATCCCTTTTCCCAGACAGCGTCATATCGGCTCCCACTGGGGAAGTACAGGGTTCCTTCGCCGTGAAACATGCCGTCCTTCATTTCCCCAACATATCTTGTTTCTGTTGGGAGGATGTATTCAGCTTTGCCCTCCATCCTGCAAGGACATAGGAAAATCACTGAGCCCTGTAGGAAGTTAGTCCTCGATTTCACGCGTCATCCTCTCAGCAATATTCTGTCTAAAACCCCAAATTTTGTTTTGTTTCCCTCAAAAATCCTGCTTAAGAGGGGGGGGCAGAGTTCAGTCTGTTCCTTCTCCCTTCACCTGAAGGCTGTCCTGGAGTTCATGCTGTTCAATGAAATACCTTCTTGCTAGGCCCAGAGAGGGTAGGGATGTACCCAAAGCCACACCATAGAAACTGAAATGAAGGCCAGGGCTCAGTCAGCAGATTTTTGACTTCCCTATTCCTCCTCACTAAGCCACAATTGGGATACTTGAAAAAATATGAAATTTAGAGATAGGAGATATTGGTTTGAATACAGCACCTTTTCTAGAAGGATCATCCTGGACACTTCCCCAAATTTCTCTGTCTCTATTCTCCCCTCCCTCCCCAAAGAATATTTCCAGAGCACCTGCTGTGAGCCAAGTGCTAGGTGGAGAGCCAAGCTGCTGGACACAGCACAGACCCAAGCAAGGCGGACGCCCTCCCGGTCTGCACAAGGGACACAAGTAAGCAATTGCACAATGTGTAGCAAGTGCCCTGCAGGAAATCATGGGTGTGTACAAGAGTACAGGGCAGGGACAGCAAGGACAGCTGGACCAGGGGACCGGCTTCTTCATGGGTGCAACTAATCTCAGTTCTGAGGTCACCCCTGACAGTATACGACAGTTTTCTTAGTAAAGGGCCTGACATACAATGAGTTCTTTAAATATGCTCTTATTTATTTATTTTTGTGATACTGGGGATTAAACCCAGAGCACTCTCCGATGAGCTCCATCCCCAACCCTCTTTATTTTTTATTTTGAGACAGGATCTTGCTAAATTTGGCCTTGAACTTGTGATCCTCCTGCCTCAGGTTCCCAAGTCTCTGGGATTACAGAGGTACATGCTACACTATGCCTGGATAAGAGCTATGTTTTAATTCATTCCTTTTCCATTCCTCCCCACTGGCTGAAGTCACCTTCCCTAAACTCTGTTGGAGGCTCAGCACTTTAGGCCCTGCGCTGCAATTAAACACCTCATCTCCTGTGTTTAATCAGAGCCTCTAGAGAGGAACACCTTGTTCTCAACTCCTAGGACCACGCTTCCCTCTTAAACAAGTGCCCTGCAAACATCTACTGAGTAAGGAATGAAGGGAACAGAAAGTCCAGAGAACTGATGGAATGGGTGCCACAGCCCCAAACATGAGTGCCCAGTGGGGAAGGCCCAGCTTCCGAGCCTGCAGACCTGGGTGTGAGCTGCTCCATCTCTGCCACCTTGTCAGCTTCCCTCCTTCCCTTTCCATCCCTCTTTCTTTTCCTCTCTTCCTCCTTCCCTTTCATTCTTTAATTCATTCAAAGTTAAAAGCTTTCATTCTAAATGTGAAGTAAGTTAAAAAGAATGCAGAAAGCCACTTTATAGTGAAGACTTCAATGCCTAATGAGGATATGATTACCATATTTCTAGTATCTACCATTCATTCTCCTATTAATTCATACGGCCAAAATTCATTCTCTACTACAAATATGCACTATGAGGAGTGATACAGAAATGAAATCGATTAGATTTCCAACACTGAGTCCTAGAAGATCTTTTAGTGATTCCTCCACTGCCAGAATTGGGTAAAGTGTTGAACTTTGTCTTTTCTGGGGCTCAGCCCACTCCCCAGTTTTCCCTCCCATAACCCCTCTAAGCCTACCCTACCTCTGGCCAAACTGATAATCTGCTCTTCCCTACACAAGTCCTCTGGGCTATTGGTCCTGCTGTTCCCTCTATCCAGTAACATTCTTCACCTTGATTTTCCACCCACCGAAATCCTACCCAACCTTCAAGGTTTATTTCAAATATCATCTCTGTGAAGCCAGTTGGGCGTGGCTTCTGTGGAGGCAGCAGGGCTCTACAGTGGAAAGCAGGTGGTTGTAGAGACAGATAGGCCTGGGTTTTAACACCTGCTCTGTCCAGTGCTAACCAGGTGACTTTGAGCAAGTTATGTAATTACTGACTCTTACTTTTCCTATCTGTAAAAGAGGATAATGATGCCTACCACACAGAATTGCTTTAAGGAAGGGAAGATGCAGGCAAAGCCACCTGGAGCATAGTGGTCACTACATAAATGTTATTGGTCTCCCTTTGCCCCCTGCGTTTGTAGGTCTACCTTAGCACACTTCTTGTGCTGCTTTGCAGTAGTGTTATCTAGAATTCAGTTCTGTAACTATTCCAAAGAAACCATGATCTTGAGGGAAGATCCTACATTAGTTTTTTATTTTTTATATTCACACATGGTACTGGGAAATCATCTCTCTTTTATTGTTGTTGTTGACCAGCTTTATTGAAGTACTATTGACATACCACAATACACACATATTTAGCATGGACTATTTGGTAAGTTTTGACATACACTCAGAAAACCATCATCACAATAGACATAACTAATATATCTGTTATCCTCCAAAATTTCTGCATGCCCTTTTGTAATCCTTCCTGTGTGCCCCTCCCCACAGCCTTCGTGCCTAGGAAAACACTCATCTGCTTTTTGTCACCACAGATTAGTTTGCATTTTCTAGGATTTTATATAAAGGGCATCATACATCTTATTTATTTATTTATTTGTTTATTTATTTATTTATGGCAGTGTTAGAGATCAACCCAGGGCCTTCTGTGCTAGGCAAGTACTCTACCACTGAGTCCCCAGCCCTGTGTGTGTACTTCTTGGTGTCTGGATTCTTTCTTTCTTTTTTTTTAAATATTTATTTATTTATGTATCTTTAGTGTTAGGTGGATACATTAGTTTGTTTTTATGTGGGTGCTGAGGATCGAACCCAGTGCTTCATGCACGCTAGGCGAGCACTCTACCACTGAGCTACCACCCCAGCCCCATGGATTCTTTCACTCAACACAATTCTTCTATAATTCATTCATGTTGGTGTTGTGTGTACCATTTATCACTCCTTTTGTTGTGTAGTGTTCCCATGGATAGACATGCCACAATTTGTTTATTCACTTACCTATTAATGGGACACTTGGGGGTTATTATCACAAATAAATGTGATAACATTTATGTAATTTATAAATGCACTCATATATGTATGTTTGTATGGGTATGTATTTTCATTTAAGAAATGGTCAAACTTTTGCAAAGCAGCTGTAATCTTTTACATTCCCAGCAGTAGTAGGGAGTCTATACAAACTAAATGTTAAATATCAACTTCTTATTGTATACAGAAGCTACTCTCTTCTTTAAATTCTAAACGAAAATTACCCCTTCTCAGCCAAGGGGAAAGTGCACACTTTCAAGAATTCTGCCACTTACCTGATGAGCTGGACAAGTATCTGAAGCTCTAAACCCCAATTACCTCTAAAGTGGAGCTAATGACATCTCCCTTGCAAGATTGACTAAGGGTTAGAGATAGAACCCCAAATTTACTATCACCATCTCTAGAAATCTCTGTTGTAACCCTGGCTAGACATTGATCTCTTCTTCCTTTTAAATTTTTTTTTTGTAGTTTAGATGGATACAATACCTTTATTTTATTTATTTATCTTTATATGGTGCTGAGGATCAAACCTAGGGCCTCACATATGCTAGGCAAGTGTCTACCACTGAGATACAACCCTAGCCCTTCTTCTTCCTTAAAAAAAAAAAAAAAAAAAAAAAACTACTGGAATCCAACAACCTGTGAATAAAGCCCACAGATTCCACCAAATTCTCACTCTTCATTTCTCCTTCTTTACAGTCCCATGGTAGATGTGCTTCACCCTTTGAACAACTACCACTTGTTTGGCAATCTATTTCATCCTTATTTTCCCCAGCTATAACACAGAGATTCCACCTTCATGCAAAGAAGAGTAGCCATTTCTGTGTTCTCTGCTTCTCTCCATTGAAGCACTGACCATGCAGAACCGTGGTTATCTGTGTTACATTTACTTGCCACTCTATCTTTGAATGAGCTTTTTGAGGGCAAGGATTATGAACAGGGTAAAATCCAGAGCCTGGTCCTTGGAGGACAACCAACATTTGTTGAACTAAATAACTTTTACTATTTGTCCCTTGGAGTAATTTGTGTACATAATTCTAATAATTCGTAGATTGTGAACTCCCTGAGGGAAGACCCCATGTACAGTAGGACCTTTGTGTCTGCAGGTTCTACATTGTGGATTCAATCAATCATGGACTGAAAGTTCAGGTGTCCCTTGGTATAGGGGAGGATGGGTTCCAGGACCTCCTCAGATTTGTGCATGCTCAAGTCCTTCATATAAAATGGCAGTATTTACATGTAATCTTTTGCACTTGTCCTATAAAATTCAAATCTTCTCTATTTATAATACCCAGTAGAATGTAAATGCTATGTAAATTGTTGCTATATTGCATCATTTAGGAAATAATGACAAGACAAAAAAAGTGTATACATGTTCAGTACAGAAGCAGTACTTTCCCCCTGAATATTTTCCAACCCCAGGTGTGGAATTGCTTATTGGAAAGGAAATCTGCTTGGGGTCCTGGAATATATTGTGGAGATACTGTGGGATGACTGCACAATAAATTTGAATTACCCACAGTCCCTAATTCCCACTCTCCATGTTTTTTTTTTCATAGCATTTCCCACTATCTGACATTATCTTCTCATTTATTTGTTTATTGGCAATACACTCCAACTAGATTGTAAGCTTCATGAGAACAAGAATCTTGACATTTTAAATATTTTATACCCATATCTAAAGCTGAAAGACAGCACACACACCCCATATGTGGAACTAATGAATCTTAGCTCTGCTGCTTATTGGATATGTGCCCTTGAGCAAATTACTCAAGCAAGTTTGTGAAAAGTGCCTGGCACAAAGTCCCTTGCAGAAGCAAAAAGGCAGACGTCTTATCCCAGTCGCAGATATTCAGACCTAGTTAAGTGAATCAAATGAAGCCCTTACCTCCCATCTACATATTCCCCGATATATTTGCTCCCTGTGTACTCCATGACTCCGGCTTCTAGCCTCCAGCTGCTGGGATCCCAGCCTTAGTGGACAACGCTTCACTATGACAACCAGGAGGGGTGGGCGGAACCGACGCGAAGCCCCGCCCCGTGCACGCGCCGACTTCCTGGCTTTGCGCATGCTCCGTCTCCGGCGGCGGAACGGAGCAGTGCGCCTGCGTGTTGTGAGATGCGCATGCGCAGGCTGGGCTACGGCGGTCCTAAGGGGAGTTCAAGGAGAAGGGGGCAAGGCCGCTGAGGGCACCTCGGCGGGGTCGCAGCTACAGCCGTCATGCCGGGGATAGTGGAGCTGCCTACTGTGGAAGAGCTGAAAGTGGAGGAGGTGAGGCTCGTCCGGAGGACAGGCAAGAGGGGCACAGGGCTGCAGCTGGCTAGGCCTGGGCCCAGTCTTCGCCTCAGCGGACCCTGGGCCCCGACCCCCAGTTCCCCGATCCCAGCACACACACCTGATTCCCAAAAGTCCATGCATAGCTCCGAGGATCCTGACCCACCCCACTGCACCCCACTATGGCTGTAGAACACCCCCACCCGCCACCACCAGAGACCTGCTCCTCTTTCTGTGAATAATGATGATACTTTTTACCAACCATAAGCCAGGGCCTCTTTACCTCCTGTCGCTCACACCTCCCTGTGAATGGAGTATACCGTCCCAGATGCGCACATCCTAGGGTGGACGGTCACATTAAAGTATTTCATCGGTGCAGAACACATTAGAAAGGAGTTAAGGAGTTGTAGGAAAATACTATGATATTGAAGAATGTGCATTTGCTCACAACTATGGCAAGGTGTTTGTTCTGGACATATTTGAAGCATTCATTTATTCCAGAGATATCTTTTAAATATTACAATGTGCACATACACTGGAAAATACGAGATAAAGTCACTGCTCTCATATAGGTTTTAATCTAAGAGGGAGACACATAAAGAGGTAGTTATACTACAGTGTAGTTAGTGCCATGAGAAGTGAAGACAGTACTAATTATAGTTCCCATGATCCAGCCATTTCTCAAAGCCAGGCAGGATGCAAATAATTACTTTAGATGCATTAATTTATTGAATCCTCCCAGCAACACTATAAGGTAGGATATAATTGGCCTTCCCCTGTTATAGATCAAATAGACTCTGAGAGTAGGAGTGGTTTGCTCGAGGTCACATAGCTAGTATGTGGTAGAGTTGGGTGGTGAACCCAGGTCTGGTCCTGAAACCCATTTTTAAAATACTTAGTTATGGGCAGATGCTCAACAGATTGGGAAGGTTTAATAGAGTCTTGGTTTGTTGGGGTTCCAGGTGCTGTTTAATGTGATCCTAGTGTTGGTGGGAAGCAGCAGGTCCTGAGCCAGGAGATATACCTATGGCTGAGATAGGACTTGGCCAAGCAGTTTGGACTTTATCCTATAGGTGAGGTGGTGGGAAGAAGTGATATGACTGGACAGTAGAAGGAACAGGCTACATTAAAGGAGGGAAAAGGTATGACTAAAAATTGGTGCTGAGAATTATGAGTCAGGCACTGTGTTAAGTGTTTTACCTGCATTACTTCATTTAATCTTATATGCCTGTGAGGATGACAACTGTTATTTTCCTCAAATGAAGAAATTAGCTGTGTTCAGGAGCTTTATAATAAAGTGACATTTGCTAAGAAGAGGCAGGAAGAATGCTTCTGAGGAACCAGTTTTTTATTTCTTGCCCCATCATGAAACTGGGTTAAACTTGAGTTGCTGTATTTTTCATTGGAATTTTAATTTGGTTCAGCAAGCATTTGAGGTTCTGTTTTATGCAAGAAGTTCCTTATCTGAAATAAATTTGCCTTTAGGGTTTACATCTGAAATGTGAATTGAGAAACAGATAATAAATGACTAAAATATAGGACAAAGTATCATTCAATACTATGAAAGAGGGGCAGGCATGCCTAAGGAAAGAGAGTAGGGTTTGATGTTCGATATTAATTCCAGGGCTAACTGTCAGTCACCTTAATTAGTCACTTTCAGCATTTTCAGACAGTTATTTTGTTTGTAAGATGAGTGATTACTATTGTACAGTTCTCTGAGGCTATAAAGGGAAAAGAAAAAGTCCTTCTTGGCCATAAGATAGGATATAGCTAAATGGACATTTGAATAATGGCATTTCTGTGCAGAGATAGAACTCTTAAGTGAAGGTAGGATTTGAGCAAAAGTAAGGATCTGGGAAAATGGGGGGGGGCTAAAAATGGGTTGGGGAACAGTGAGTTCAGTGTTTAGAGAACAGCAAATAATCCCTTTGTGAAACACTTGGATGAGAAAGCTAGAAAGATAAGTTTGACAAGATCATTGTACTGTCATGTGTAACTAATTAAAACAAAACAAAACAAAGAGATAGTTTGGAACCAGAAGGCTTTGAATAGCCAGTAAGTTTAGGCTTTGTCCTATTAAGGCTGAACTTTGACAGAACATTCTCCTTCTCCTCTCTCTCTTTAAGGTACTGGGGATTGAACCCATCAGTACTGTACCTCTGAGCTTTATTCTCAGCCCTTTTAAAAAATTTTTGGTTTTGAGACATGGTCTCACCAAATTGCCCATGTTGGCCTTGAACTTGTGATCTTCCTGCCTCAGCCTCCCAAATAGCTGGGATTATAGGTGTGCACTACTGCTCCTAACAATGATTTGTTTAATAGCAGAGTAGAATAGGAATTATCATTTAGGATAATCACTTCAGCAGCTTGCAGGAAGGAAAGAACAAGTGAATATGTCTGGAATTGATCCCATTTAGCAATGGATTAAGAAGGAAGGCGGGAAAGGTTGAGGAATCAATGTCAGATTTGTGTTGACAGTAGAATTGGGGAAGCCAGAAGCAACAGCAAGTTTGGGGAGGAGGTTAAAAGCATTTTGGATCTTGTTGACTGGGAGTTATGACACATCCCCATGGAAAAAGTAGTTAGAAGCTTTGAGCTGGAAACTTCCTTGAACACATTGATAATTTTTGAGTAAAAATGAGAATTATAGCTAATATTGATGATGTACTTTATGTCAGGCAGAGTTCTTAGTATATTTATATGCATTAACTCATGTGATCCTCATAATGGATCTATAAGTAGTATCATGCTCCACTTTACATATATTAAAGAAAATAAAAGGCCTGATATAAACAAGTACCATAGGAAGTTGCAGACGTGGTTTAAGGAAGCAAGAACAAGACTAGAAGATCTCTGCCTCACTTCCCACACCTGCAGACTTATAATCCTGCTGTGCAGGTTGGCTTGTGAGATTAGGTGAGGAAAGATGTCGAAATTCTATCTTCTTGAGACAAAGGGCGTTGAATGAATTTGAAAGGGTATTCATGGTAAGCAGCTGTGAAAGGACAGCCTTGCTATTGGAATTCATCAGTCAATCTTAGTGAAGAAGCAGGTGAGGAGATGTGGTTGACACCTCAGGTTCTTTGCTGTATCAGGGATGGTGATGACCTGGGAAGAGAGGCCTGGTTAGAGGTCATAGGCTTTGGGTTCCAGTTCTGGGGTTGCCATTGACTGGCTTGTCATTGAGCATATGTTTCTTGTTCATCAGTTAGGAAATGGATTTAGTGAGTGATTCTCATCCTTTATTTCTTTGTGACAGAGGTAGTGTTTTATATGCTCAACAACATGGGTGTACCTTTGTTTGGGTAAAACCTCCACATCTGTAGGGAAGTAAAGCAAATAATGTTGCAGGCTTTTGGGGGCATGATCACCATGGGCATTTTAGGTATTAAATTAGTCACTTAAGGATATTTTAAGGCATTTGAAAAGGAAGTAAATATAGCCAACATAATTTTTAAAATGTGTTATGCTTTAATTAAACTTTGAGTGATCATTTTTATTCTCCAAACTATTTAGGTAACTTTTATTTTAACAAATTTTCATTTAAAAGTTTTACAGATTTTTGACAAATTTATTAGAATTGTCATGGCAAATTTCATTTACATTATAACTTTATCTTTGTTTTCACTTACATTATAACTTTATCTTTGTTTTTAATAATTATGAAGTTGTAATATTTGTAGACATAGTCATATCTTTAATTTTCTCTTCCTGTAGTGTGTAAATTACTCTCTTCTTGCCATTTATCTTATTAATAACTGGGCAAAGTGAATAAAATTATAGACTTTTCTCATAATAAAATACTTAATTTTACAAATCAAATCCAGTATTGTATTAAAGTATAATAAAAATATAATAGTAAAAGTTGATAGACTAGACTAGATTTTATTCTAGAAATAGAAGTCAGTTTTAGATAAATCTGTAAATGCTCTATGTTACATTTATAGGTTAATAAAAAGATGCTTGAAATTTTTTTATTAGTCTTTCTTAGGGAAGACAATAGCAACAGGAAAGCAGATAAATGTTGTATAAAGCTGTTTTAAAGTTTAGGAACAAAAAGTTCCCTACTGTCATTTCAGTTTATCTGAGTTGTGCTGGGGGGTTTGATCAGAGCAATAAAATAGTACGAGAGAATAAGAAGGAAAAAAGATGGGGCTGGGGTTGTGGCTCAGCGGAAGAGCGCTCGCCTAGCAATTGAGAGGCAATGGGTTCGATCCTCAGCACCACATAATAAATAAATAAATAAACAAATAAGGAAAATAAAGTCTTTTTTTTAAAAAAAAAAAGAAGGAAAAAAAATACAAACATCAGAAAGAAGGACAAACTGATTTTATGGTTGTAAATGGTAAGTATTTTCTGATAATTCTCATGAGTTTTGTATTGAAACTGGTAAGATGGCTTCAGTAAGGTTGCTAAGAAATTTATAGTGTATAAGCAAGCAGTAGCCAGTTTGAAAATCCAGTAGAAAAAAGTACTCTACTTAAGATAGTATTAAATGCTAAGCTGGATATGGTGGAGCCAGTGACTTGGGAATATGAGGCAGGAGGATTGCAAGTTCAAGGTCAGCCTCAGCAACTTAGGGAGACCCAGCAACTTAGTGAGGCCTTATCTCAAATTAAAAAAAGGATTGGGATGTTACCCCTGGGTTCACTCTCCAGAACCAAAAACAAACAAAAAACTTGTGGAATAAGCAAGAAATGTGCAACGTCCCTTTATGAAGGGACCTTCATTTTAACCAAGGAAAAGAATGACCTGAATCTGGCTTAAATGGAGAGAAATACTATGTCTTCTACAGGCCATAATTCATATATTTTTATGCCTTTTGTAATTCTTGTATCTCCATTGTCTGAAAAGATTGGGTGCTCAACAGCCAGTCTTGAGCTATTTTGGGTGCTTGATGTATCATGGTAAACATTACATTTAATTATATCCTTTATTTAGGGAGAATTGACTTTTTTACAGTATTGTATCTCTGTTGAAACTGAATCCCTACCCTGTTGGAGCTTACGTCCTAGTAGTCACATGTACACCACATGAGGGACCACCAGCTTATATAAGATGGTCAAGTGCTAGCTTATGTCAGATGGTTAAGGAAAGGTTCTCTGAGGATATAAAATTTGAGCAGAGACCCAACACAAGCTGAATATCCCTAGTTCAAAAATCCAAAATCTGAAATACACTAAAATCTAAAACATTTTGAGCATCAACATGATGCCACAAGTGAAAAATTATACACCTGAGCTCACGTGACAGGTTGCAGTCAAAACACAGGTGCACTAAAATATTTGATAAAATTACTTTCAGCGTATGTGTATAAGGTGAAGTTCATATTTAGACTTGGGTCCCATCCCCAGGATAGTTCTTATGTATAACCAGATCCTCCAAAAATCCATAGCACCTCTGGTCCCAAGTATTTCAGAAAAGATACATGTTCAATCTGTGTTACAAAGTGCTCATTCTCCCAATTCAGAATGTTAACTAAATTTAATGCAATTCAAATGCAAATTATTAGAGCAGTGTTCATCTGAGAGAGTAACAGACAAGTTTAAAAAGGAAGAATGAGGGAGAATTCTCAAATAACAACATGTTCTGTTAAGAGACAGAAGTTAAAACATTGTGGTTTGGGGCCGGGGTCATAGTTCAGTGGTAGAACACTTGCCTAGAATGCATGAGGCACTGGGTTCGATCCCTGGCACCACATAAAATAAACAAATAAAATAAAGATACTGTATCCATCTCTACTAAAACACACACACACACACACACACACACACACACACACACACACACACAGTGTTATTACTGTGGAAAAAGCAAGAACAGAAAAAAGCCCAGCAGGACCTTTGCTGCTGCAGCTGTTAAATAGACCCTGGACTATTGCAGTTCCCTGTGAGTTAACTTAACCACACTTTTTTCCTCAAGAAAATATTGATTTTATTATTTTTAAAAATTCACAGATTCTAGTACTTTGTTAGTAACAGTTTGCTGGACTAGGTGCTCTTTCTGATTCTTTCCAGTCTCTCATCTTCTGTGATTTCCTGGTCCTCTGGGAGTCCCATATATTCTTACTCTATTAATTTATTCTGGGAGTGGAAACTCAGGGAAGCTCCCTGAGATGGTTCCTCTCCTGGCATTCCAGGAGCCTCCATTTGCCTTTTAAGCAGCTTGGTTAGGACTGCTGGGTCTTTATCCCTAAAAATGCTACAGTTACATCAACTTTGTGAGATTGTTGTAGAGGTGAAAAAATAATATATGAGAAGGAGCTTTGTGATTTCTAGAGCACAGTAGACCATAAAGAATTATGATAGCCTCATGTTTAATTTTCTTGGTAAAGTCAAACAGTGCTGCTTTTCTTGACCAGCATGAAGTAACATCGAGAAAGTGACACTGGTTCAGTCTGTGGTCTTTGTCCCATGTTCCTTTCCTAGGTGAAAGTCAGCTCTGCTGTGCTGAAAGCTGCGGCCCATCACTATGGGGCTCAGTGTGATAAGCCCAACAAGGAGTTCATGCTGTGCCGCTGGGAGGAGAAAGACCCGAGGCGGTGTTTAGAGGAAGGCAAGTTGGTCAACAAGTGTGCTCTGGAGTTCTTCAGGTAAGAAGTCTTGGTTTCAGTGCCTGTGAGGTTGAAATATCAGGGTCTTAAAAACATCCAGCTAATTAAACCAAAGGATAATTTTAGTAGGAAATGGGTAGGTTTTAAAACAGACCAAGGTAAACAGTGATATTTTTGTTTTCATTTTTACTATATGGCAAGTTCTTTAATCTCTATGTATATCAGTTTCCAAAGTGTAATAAGATAATACCTGTTTTACACAGTATGTCTATGAAAAGTTTGAAAATACATAAAGACACCTCAGGGCTAGAGATGTGGCTCAGTGGTAGAGCACTTGGCCTAGTATGTGGGAGGCCCTGGGCTTGATCCCCAGCACCTTAAAAAATGAGGGACAGTGCTGATGAGCAGACATTCACTAGGTTATTGTTACTACAGAACACACAGTTGTGAGTCAGATTTTTAGGTAGTCAACTGTCTTTGATATTTGAGTAGAAAAATCTATGGTGTATAATTATAGAAAAATGTTTTAGCAACGATACTAGGCGGGACTCTGTTGAAAGGGGCAGGGACTCAGGGATTTGGCTCTTTAACTGTAAAGTCCAGAAATAGACCTAGCATGAAGCAGGCTAGATTCAAGGGCTTCAGTGATCTCAACTCTGTTGGTGTCTTTTGCTTCTCCTTTTCTCTCCATAGTCTCTTAGTTCTGCTTTTCTCTCTTGACTTTATTTTCAGAGACTCTCTCTTTGGGGTGGTAGAAGTGGCCAGCAGGTGCTTCAAAGTGCTCTTCTCCTTGCTTAGCAAGCCTAGACAAAGTGCCATCTCTCCAGTAGTGTGAGACCAGGGTCCCTGCACGGGTAGCAGTTGTCCTAGCTGACTGAATGCATATTGTTGAGCCAGTTCTGCCTTGAGAGAGAAAATGCTCTGATTGGTCAGGCTTCGAGTGGACGGAGTCTTAACTTCATTCAAATCACATTGCTGAGAGACAGGGAGGGGTTGTTCCCAAAAGGAAAATGACAGGGGTGTTTATAGAAGAATGGGGAATGACTGCCGGCTAGGCAGAAGCTGCAGATGTCCACTATATGACATTAGAGGGAAAAATCAAATGCCTTAGCACAGTAGGTGCTTTCCTTTTTCCTTATACTATCTTTGTTTGCATACAAGAGTATTTTTGTGGTCACAGTCAAAGCTTGTGTATTTTAAAAATTGATTTTTCATTGAAACTATTGGAAAATTCTGTCAGGCTGCTATATAGGCTTCACTGTTTTTAATGACTGTATACTATTCCATTAGTAGATGAACTAACAAAAATATACTTGACCAGTTTCTGTTAGTGAACATAATTGATGATCTCAATTTTTGATCATTTTAGAGAAATCTAAGTGATTACTTTTGTATGTGGCCCTTTTTCATCTTTTTTTTAATATTTATTTTTTAGTTGTAGTTGGACACAGTACCTTTATTTATTTATTTATTTTTATGTGGTGCTGAGGATCGAACCCAGGGCCCCACACATGCTAGGCAAGCACTCTACTGCTGAGCCCCAGCCCCAGCCCCTCTTTTTCATCTTTTAATTATTGCCAGTTGTAAGATTATTTTGAAAAGCCTTTTTTTTGGGTACCAGGGATTGAACCTAGAGGTGCTTAACATTTTTAGCCACATTTTTTGGTATGTTTTTAAGGTAATGGGATATATATAAAATGTATTTTTTAGTTGTCGATGGACCTTTTTTTATTTATTTGTATGTGGTACTGAGAATCGAACCCAGTGCCTTACACATGCTGGGCAAGTGCTCTACCACTGAGCTACAACCCCAGCCCCTTTAGCCACATTTTTGTATTTTATGTGGAGAAAGGTTCTCACTGAGTTGCTTAGGGCCTCTTTAAGTTGCTGAGGCGGCTTTGAACTCATGATCCTCCTGCCTCAACCTCCCAAGCCACTGGGGTTACAGGCGTGTGCCACCGTGCCCAGCTGTAGAAGGCTTTGAACATATTTATGGCTCTTGAACTTTAGTGCCTTTTCTTTTTTTTTTTTTTTAGAGTTGGGTCAACTTAATGCTGTCAGCACTGCATCCTGGTATGCATGTTATTTAAATATTTGACAGTTACCAAATGATATTTTATTGTGCTTGAATTTTCTTTGATTTATCTGCTAGCAAGATTAAATATGTGTTCATTTTTTTAAAAAATATTATTTTCTAAGAGAATTTTGGGAAAACATTTTTCCCAAGATCCAGAGTTAGTATGTTTTAATTGGCAAATGTTTGGATTTCACAGGTTCCCAAGGTGCCTAACTGCCTCCCTGAAAGGAATTTCTCGCTGCTGAAGTATTGATTGGAGCCTTAGTAGATGATCATCTGTGGGCTGAGAGTAGCTGGGCCCAGAACAGGGACCTCGACTACTAGAGCACTATTTGCAGCTCCTCTTCTGCCCCAGCATCTTGGAGGATTCAGAACTCCCCTTGAAAATGGTAGTTTTCTACTGGAGTGACTCTCAAGTCCAGGATGAGCGAGTGCAGGTTATGCCTATAGTACCTGCAAGGTTACCTAGGAAACTGGTCACTTTTGTCTCCCATAAGGGGAACGCAGAAGTTTTACTATGAACTTCCTTAGACCATCTCTGAGAGTCTACCTTTATGAAACATCTTACACAGGATCCATTTGCTAGTTAGATTGCTGGAGTAGGGTAAGGAAGCATTTCATAATTATTACTTTTTTATTTTTAAAATTTTATTGTATTTTGTTATACATGACAGAATTCATTTCAGTTCATAGTACACATATGGAGTACAATTTTTCATTTATCTTGTACACAAAGTAGAGTCACACCATTCATGTCTTCACACACATATACCTAGGGTAATGATGTACATCTCATTTCACCATCTTTCCTACCCTCACACCTCCTTTCCTCCCTCCCCTTTGCCCAAACCAAAGTTCCTTCTTTCTGCTTGTGCTCCCCACTCCATTATTATTATTATTATTATTATTATTATTTTTAAATATTATTTTTAGTTGTAGATGGACAAAATACCTTTACTTTATTTATTTATTTATTTATTTTTATGTGGTGCTGAGGATCGAACCCAGTGCCCCACATGTGCTAGGCAAGTGCTCCACCATTCAGCTAAGGCCCAAGCCCTCATAATTATTCCATTGGGGGAAGGAGGTCCTCTCAATATCTTCCACTACCTCAAATACAATTGTGTAAAATAATGATATTTTATTCTTGCTTGTTTTGCTTTATTTGATTACCAGCACATTTGAATGATAAGGGGAATTTTTCAGAACAACTGAAGCTTACTTTTCCCTTTTATCCACAAAAGTTACATTTTTTTCCCCTAGCCAATTTTGAGGCCACAAAATTTGCTACGCTGCTTCTTAACAGAGAACGCTAAATATAATTTAACTTTTTTCCTTGGTGACAAGAGTTGTCTCTATTTTGGTTCAAAGCATTTAGTAGAACTTGAACTTTGAGCTATCAAGGAGTGGAGGGCAGTTTGCCTCTATAATGAGTGATCCCGGGCTCTTCTGCTTGTTAGTTTGTATATTTGCTTTTTGAAATTCTGTCTCCTCTTTTGCCATTGTCTGTCACCTCTGACTCTTGTCAGTGTGTCCATCTCTGACTATGCTTCTTTCTAAGTTTGCTAAGCAGATATTCTTTAGAATTGGATTTAATGAAAAGAATAAATAGTCCCAAGTGAGGAGTTCTCCTCTTGAGTAAGATACCTGTGCCTTAGGCCACAACCTTTTCTTTAAGCTACATAAAGTAAGTGGGTTTTGTTCTTCGGAAATCTTTGTTTTATGTCATTTGAAGGTCTTGCAGTTGTCCTGTAAGTGAGGTGATAGTATTTACTCCCATGCTCTTCAGAAATTAAGTTTATGTATTTGAGATCTGTGCCTATATTTTGCCCAACTTTTCTGATTTTTATTGTTTTGCATAAGTGCTGCCTCTAACCTATCCCTCCTTTCCAGGCAGATAAAGCGTCACTGTGCGGAGCCTTTTACAGAATATTGGACCTGCATCGATTATTCCGGCCTGCAGTTATTTCGTCAGTGTCGCAAACAGCAAGCAAAGTTTGATGATTGTGTGCTGGACAAATTGGGCTGGGTGCGGCCTGACCTGGGAGAACTATCAAAGGTAAAAGGGCTCCTGCTGGGTCCCATTCCCACCTGAGTTTGGGGAAAGGCAGGAGGTGCTCAGAGAGTGGTCTCTGTGGGTATAGATATGATGCAAGAAGTTTAAATTTATTTCAGGTTTATTAGGGAGTGATTGTACACTATACAAAAGGGTTTGTTTTTAATAGAAATATTCCAGCATATGCCCCTTTTAAAAAATTGTTATTAATGAGCTGATTGAAGAACAGAAGGGAGTAGGAGGAGGATAAACAAAATGTTAGCGAAACACTGTCAGCTGAAAACATCTTTGAGATTATTGTAGAATTCACTGCAGAATAGGATCAGGCTTGTGCCAGATTTTTCAGATACCTAAGATTTAAGAAATAGATGCTTCTAGTTAAAAAGTGTGTTTTCTTCTCCTTTCTTCTATATTACCTATCTTAGTTGTGATGTCACCATCTGTGGAAATGTCAGAACTCTAAGCCTGCTGCTTTCAGTCTTCAGTCCCTCCTCCTGTTTAGTCCATACAGTCATTGGAGTAATATTTCCTGGAATAGTTTTTTTAGTCTTCTCACTGGCCGGGCTGCTGTTTATCTTCTCGGAGAGGAGTTCTTAACCTGATTTGTGTGCATTTCTGGGAGGGGAAGGTGGATCTGTTTGGTTGGGCCTTAAAAGATCATTCATCCTCTGAAATTGAAGAATTTAGGGATAAAACTACATCTTCACTGAAAGAATGATCTGTGTGGAAAATAAAAAATCATGGGGATCACTTTTTTAAAAATTTCAGGGGCTTCCCTTTGCTTGTAAGATAAGGTGTCCCATCTGTATTGTGACATGCAGGCCCCTAAATGAGCTGATCTGTTCCTGCTGCTTGGCTTTAGCACCCTCCATTCCTTCTGGGCTGGGCAGCTGGCAGGCATGGAGGCAAATAGATTGGTTCCACTACTTACTTGCTGCGGGATCTTGAACGAATTGCATAATGTTTTTGTCCTACCATGTCTACAAAGTGGGGCCAGGGATCCCTGTTTTTCTGTGAGAATTACGCCAGAGAGCTTATGTGAATCCCTTGCATATTATCTGGGCACATAGGTCCACAATTAATCTTTGGTCTTTTCCTTTGTGTATAGCATCTGTGAATAATTGGGTGAAAAGATTGTTGTCATAAGTAGTGCAATGACCTAGCCCTTTTTTTTTTGGTATCTACCATAATTATCTTCACATATCTTTTTTTGCTACACTCAACAAATTACTTTAAATAGGTAATAATTCTAAGTTGGAAAGTGGTGGAACTTACACATTTAACAAAACTATCTTTTATCATTTCTGACTCCCGACAGGAGAATTAATAAGTCATGCTAACAAGTCATGGTAGTAAGAAAATATATTTATTCTTGAATCTTTATATTAACGTTAAAAAACCCCTAAAAAATAAAGTTAGTGTTGTCTTAACTTTTAAAAGTGTTCTCTTTATGTGGATTATCACCTTCACTTATACTTCAATTCAGTATTCAGTCTCTTTCTAGAAGGGTGTAATCATCTGGGTAAAGTTTAAGTTTTAGCTTAATTCACATTTGTGTTCTGTTCCCACACAGTCGCCTTTCCCTTCTACTTTCCCCTGTGAATTCCTACTTACTTATAAGGCCTCAGTTTGAATGTCAGTGTCCTTCCCTGCACTTTCTTACCCATAATCCTGATAATATTAAAAATAACTTATGAAGCCAGACGTGGTGGTTCAAGCCTGTAATCCTAGTGACTCAGGAGGCTGAGGCCGGAGGATCTCCAGTTTGAGGTTAGCCTCAGCAACTTTGCAATGCCCTAAGCAACTTAGTGAGACTCTGTCCAAAAATAAATAAATAAATAAAAAGTTCTGGGGATGGGCCCCTGGGTTCAATATTCAGTACCAAAAAAAATCAAAACAGCAATACCTTACGTAGTACCTACTGTACGTCAAATACTTTACATGTACTGTTTTACTTCATCTGCTGACCTGTGAGCTACTCATAAACCTGTTTTACAGGTGGAAAACTAAGTCTTAGGTAGGCTACCCAAAAGTCATTTACTTAGTAGTTGGTTTGACCACATGCCTCTGCTCCTTTTCTTTTGGGGAGTGCTATGGAAGAAGGAGGTTACTTTGTTCTTTCCTTGTTTTTTTCTTTCAAGGGGTCCTTGATTACTTTAAATTTGAGAAACATTTTCCTAGATTTACTTCATGAAAATCTTGAATTCTTAAAAGCTTCTAATACCAGCTGAGGGCATTTGGATTTACTCAAGCAGGAAGAAACCCTTAGTGATCTCTAATTATAGCAGAGAAATGGGCATACTGTTTCAAAGCAGACAAATAAGGAACCACTCTGCATTTGAAAACTCAGGTTCCAGCTCCATCTCTGATGTTACCCCATCTTAAGCGCTTGTCCTCACCTGGGAGCTAGAGTTAATAAATGCTATAGAGGGTGGTCACTGGTTGTATACCTGAAAACTCTGTTTACAGAAAATGATTTCTGAAATTATACACCTAGGCAAGTCAATCTGGTTCTATCATTGGGGTAGCTTAGAGTTCATACCATTAATATAGCAATCGGAAGTTTGTTAATAACCATGGCCTATGTATCTGGGCCTGTTTCCTTATCTTTAAAATGAACAATTTCTGCTGTCTTCCCAGTTAAGATTTTGGTGACCATTAGGGGTTACCATGGATGTCAGTATCTTCATCTCCCTGTTGCTGTTTATCCTTTACTATCTTAGTTGACCTGTTGGTTCAGTTCTCCAATTCTGACTTTGCCTCTTTCCAGTCTAGCTTCCATACTTTCTAGCCTACGGTGAGAGTGGTTACATCCCTGTCTCAGTGGCATCTGTTACCAACAGGTTAAAATCCATAGTTTGCAGATCATTCATACCCTTTGTCATTCAGTTGTCTCCCAGTGCCGCATGATTTTGAAAGGGCAGGCTTTAGAGTAGGCTGGCTGATCAGTGTTCTGAAAGTTCTTCTGTAGTAATGTAGGTGGTCTCAGTGAACCTCTGCAAAATGACTTCATAGGGATGTGAAAATGAAGTGGGATGTCATGTGCTCAACATCGAGAGCTTGTTTAGGTGCTTCATCTCCCTCCACTCTTCTTGCCTTGCTTTGGCTGTTCTAAAGATCGACCTCTGTTCTGCCTTCCTCCCAGTCTGCCTGGCTAACTCCTGCTTATCCTTCAAGATTAAGCTGAATGCTCCCTCCTCAGAAATGTATGTTCCCCTAGCCTCCAGTGAGGTGAGATATGCAGAGTCCTTGATGCTGTCCCGCATAGTTCCCGTCTCCACTGTGAGAAGTAAGTCTTGGTTGATACTTTGCCTGTCTCCCTCAGAAGACAGCGAGTCCCTTGAGGACAGTATGTATCTTGTTTCTTTCCATATCCCCAGCTTCCACCATGTGGAATGACATCAAGTAAACTTTCCTAAGTGTTTATTTGAGGATTAAACATGGTTTGCTAGGGCCTTAAAGTCGGAGGGTAGTTGGAGCAACAGGAGCAGAGAGGAGATGCCAGGGAGCTCATCTGTAGTCACAGCTTTCTCCAACCTTACTTTCAACTTTGCCTCTTCCCTCTTCGCCCTTCCCAGGTCACCAAAGTGAAAACAGATCGACCTCTACCGGAGAATCCCTATCACTCAAGAGCAAGACCAGAGCCCAACCCTGAGATAGAAGGAGATCTGAAGCCTGCCAAGCATGGCAGCCGCCTTTTTTTCTGGACCATGTAAAGATGGGTCAGTGGCCCATGCTCAGTCACGCGCCCAGACAACTGGTGAAAACGCCCATGTGGTTTGCATCTCCCGATAGTGTGTTCTTTCCTGGATCACAAACATTAACAAAAAAACTAATTTATGTGACTTGGCAGTTATTCTATACCATTTCCTGTCCATTAAAAATTTTAAAGGAAACAGTTGTATTTTATTATGTTTTATGTAACCTTTTGGCCTTTAAAGATGACTTCCCCTGGCTTTTTCTTCTTGTGGTCCTGCCTGTTTCTCTGGCTTTGCTGTAAGTGGGCACTCATTAGTATGGCAGGGGAGCCACACTGGGCAAAGAAATGAGTGTAAAGGAAAGGGTTTGTCACCTGAGACGATGCTCCTGCTCACATGTTTTGAAGTCTCACCTCTTTGCAACCATTTCAAGCACATAGATTTCTGAAGAGGTCATTCAAGGGAAGCTTCTAGGACAGTTGAGGCGTTAGGAGCCTTGTGACTCAGGGTGTGGGAGGGGCTCCTGGCTGGGACTTAAGCCGCCTTGCTCAAAGTTTCTTAAAGAACCTAACTTCCACCATTTCCCCTTGATAGCCCATCCTCAGGCATTATAACCCAGATGTTTTTCCTGATAGTCGAGGGAGGTGGGGGTTGTGCTCCCAGCTCCAAAGCCAGGAAGTCAGGAGGTCTGAGTGTCAATTCCAACCTTGGGTGTGTTCCTTAACCTCTTCTGAGAGGTTGAGTTTAAGGACAAACTAAAGGGCACATGCTTATCTACCTCCTGGGCAGGTTAGAGTCAGAAGTGTTTATAAAACTCTGGTTCAAAGCACTATTATGCTCCCATCCCCCATTCAATTCCTTTTTCACTAGTAGGCTATTTCCTCTTCATCTGACTGGGCCACTCTGCACCTTCTGGTTGTGAATATAAATTGCACAGGACCCTGCATAAGTCATCTAAACTCTGAGGCTTGGTTTCTCCTTTGCAGAACTGAGAAAGGTAAAGTAGCTGGACAGGTGTCTTAAGGCTTCCAACTCTCATTCTAGATTATCTTAATTGGGGAGGTTGCTGTGAGGCTTAGATGAGTTGTAGAGGCTGTCCCTGAAGTGTTTGAGAATAGTTGTTCAAAGAAAAAGCATTGCATGATCCCTCCCCCACCATGCTGACCCCACATTTGGAAGGAAGCATCTTGCATCTTGGGTGAAACTCCCACCTGTTGTGCAGAAGTTCCTTGTCAGCTGCTTTTGTCTCAGATTCTCTAATTTAAGAGGAAGAATAGGATTTTGCATTTTTAGAATAGCAGAGGCAAAGTCCATTAACCCCTTGGTGGCCAAGCAATTGGAAGTCAACTCTGATGTGTAAAGTATGAGTAGGGCTATTCATATGACACTTTAAGCCACATGTTGCTTCCTAGGTTCCTTCTGTGGGGGAAACTGGGTCTTGGATAATTAACAAATACTCACTGAACACTGCATTGTCCCAAGGGCTTTACATTTGTCATCTTTATACTCAAGAGTCCTTTGAAAGAGATACTATTGTATGTCAAGCCCTTTTTACAGATGAAGGAACTAAGGGAGGGGTTAAGAAGCGCTGGCTTGGTATTTGAGAAGTGGTTGATGGAAGATACTGGTGAAGATTGTCCAGTCCTAACAGCCACACTGTCCTTCATTCAGAGCCATCAGTAGTCCTCAGCCTTGGATGCACATAAGAATCACTTGGGAACCTTGAAATATCGATTTCTGGATCCCACCATAGAGATTCTGATTTAATTCTGATTCTTGACATGGGGTTTTTGAAAGCTCCCAGGCTGTTTTTAAGTGAAACCAAGGTGTAGGGCTATGAACTGATTTTATTCATGAAGAAGCAAGTTGGGAGGTTACATGCTAGTCAGTAGGTAGTAAGCGACTAAGCTAAAATTTAAACCCAGTTACATCTGATGCCAAAGCCTAGTTTTTCTTTCTTTCTTTCTTTTTCTTTTTTCAGTACCAGGGATTGAACCCAGGGGCTAATTTAATGCTGAGCTACATCCCCAGCCCTTCGGGGTCTTACTTAGTTGCCGAGGCTGGCCTTGAATTCAATCCTCCTGCCTCAGCCTCCTGGGTCACTAGGATTACAGGTATATGCCACTGTGCTCAGCTGTCTATTCCTTTAATATAAACTGGCACATATGAATCACTGGAGATCTTATTTTAAAATGAAGTTTCTATTCAGTAAGTCTGGAGTGGACCTGAGATTCCTAATAAACATCCTGTTGATGCTAATGTTGCTGGCCCATCAACCACTTGGGTAACAAGGGAATAAGCCTTACTGTCTTTTCAAGGGCAGGAATCTGTCTGACTAATCTTCCCACTTCAGCGTGTAACACTGGTCACTCCCCAAATGTTAACTCACCTCTTTAGAATCAGACCAACAAGTCCTGAACTGTTAATGGCTTCAAATTCAATTGTAGGATGTTTTAACTTTGGCCCAAGTTGGATAACAGTTCTTGTCTTCTCCCCTCCCGATCTTGCTTTGAATTCTTTGAACAAAGAAACTAATTTTTGGCTTTCCTGTACTCTTGATGGAATTACAGGACATCATAGCCTTCTAGGACAGGAGGGTCTAAGCAATTAAAGATAATAATTTCTTAAATCTCCCACAAGAAATGCATGTCTCAATTTCAGTAGGTAAAAGGTCACAACAATTTGAAAGCAGTTAGTGTGAAGGATCCCTGAGCAGGGCTTCAAATAATAGTCAAGAAATCTTCTTATTGGTTTTGGCTTTAATGAGACTAATTCCTTACATTACCAAAGGAAATTTATCTGCCCCCTTTTCCTCTGCCAAGCCCATTCCTGTCTTCCCTATCTGAGTTCATGGGGTCTGCATCCTCCCAGTGTCAAAACACAAGATGCATCTTTGGCTCCTTCTGCTCGCTCCTCTCCTATCTCCAATCCAGCACCAAGTCCTGTTGAGTTTCTTCTATAATCTCTCACATTTGCTACTTCCTCTTTTATCTCACTGTCACTATTCCAGGCTATGTTTGTCCCCTTTGCCTGGATTATTAAAACGACTTCCAAGTTGATCTCCTATAGCCATCTTCCCCTCCAGTCCATCCTTTAATTCACTTCCTGTGCTTGCTGCTCAAAAACCTTAAGTAACCCCCAAAAGGATACTAACTAAACCAAAATCCTTACTGGCATTCGGTCACTCCATGATCTGGCCCTAACCTAGCTCATTTCCCCCACTCTTATCTTACTTTTCCTTGTTATGTATCCAACATTCCACAAAATGCCATTCCTTGATTGTTTTCCAATTTCTAACCTACACAGCTGCTATCCATTACCAGGAAACAATCCTTCCCCCATCTCTGCCTCTTGAACCTCTACCCATCTCTCAAGGCAGACACTAGTGCTGTCTTCCCCAGGAAGCATCCCTTTCCTACAGCCAGAAGTGGTCTTTCCTGCCCTGTTGTTCCCATGACACAATATAGTGTGATGGCTGAACACAGGGTTTTGGAGGTGGGTTGTTTGGATGTGAATCCAGGCTCTGTCATTTAATAGCTGTGTGAACCTAGGCGAGTTACTTATCCTTTCTGAACCTTATTTTGTTCATCTATTAAAAAAGGGAGGGGGAGCACCTACTTTCTGGAATGGCTATGAGTATTTAATGAGTTATATACATAAAACGTGTGCTACAGTGCTAGTAAGTGGCAGCATGATTGTAATGCTCTTGAGTGTGTGACACCAGTGTCATGGTACTGGATGTGTCTTATCTCCCCTGGTCTCAGTAGTGCAAGCACTGGACTTTTATTTTACATTCTATATCCTCATGCCTACTACGTGATAGACATGCAGGAAATGATTAACTATCCACCAAGTTCATCTTTCCAAAGAACTTCCAATACCCTCCTTGCTACAAACCTACAAGCAAATTCCTTTTATGCAGATACAGGAGAAATTCTTTGAGGTTAAATTTTCATCTTCATGGATATCAAATCCTAGCTGAAATGCTTTGGCCATAATAAAAGATGTATTACTATTCCCTGAAAGGTCATGATATACCTGGGCTTTAAAAATCTGCTTCTATGGGGCTGGGTTGTGGCTCAGCAGTAGAGCACTTGCCTAGCACATTCAAGGCCCTGGGTTTGATCCTCAGCACCACATAAAAATAAATAAATAAAATAAAGGTATTGTGTTCAACTACAATTAAAAAATAAATATTTAAAAATAATCTTTAAAAAAGCTGCTTCTGTTTCATAGGAAGCCTCGGTTTGGGGTCATGATGTCTTTTTGAGTCTGGAACCTTTGTATTATGTGTCCCAAGTAATTTGTTTTAATAGATATTGAAATTTACAGGTATATAGTACCTCTGGGAAACAAACAAAGGTTATCTCGTTCCATTGGCCAAACTCTTGTCGTTTAAGGTCATCAGGTTCTTAGCCTTAGAAGTACATTGGAATCAACTTGGCAACCTACTTGAAATACTGATGTCTGCATCTCAACTGCAGAGATTTTGATTTAGTTGGTCTGAGGCATATCTTGGATATACAGATTTTGTAATAAATGATATCCCTTTTGCTCATTTATATGCATATATATTTTGCTGGGTGGGAGAAAAGGGGGTATAGGTGTAAATAGAACTCTGGAAAGACGTTAATTAAGTAGTTAATTCATTCAACCAATACTTTACAGTCCGCTGTGTGCTAGTTGCCATCTAGGAATGAGCAAGGAGCAAGAGAGATGGGCCCTGCTCCTAGGGAGTTTCTGTCCCAATGGTGGAGGCAACAACAGGTAAATGCAGAAGCAAGATGCTTTTGGGTTGTGATAAGTTCTGAGAAACTAACTGAGGTTAACATAATAGTGAGTAGCTGGCGCCAAGGGTGTGTTTAGAGAGAGAAGCCACGGAGGGGCTCTTGGAGGAAGTGATATTTGAAAAGGAGATGATGTATTTGAAAAGTGTCCCAGGCTGGGGGAAACACAGAAGCAAACCCCTGAGACAGGAACAGAGAGAAAGCTCCTCTGCCTGAAGTGAGGTTTTGTGTGTAAAAGCCCAATGCAGGTTGCAGCTTATTTATCTCTGCCTTTATCCTGATGGGGACATTTCCTTCCACAAGTATCTCCACAGTCTGCTGGACAAAGTCCAGGTTCAGTATGACAGCCAGTCTCCCCACATGACTCAGAACTCTCCAACTTCATCTCCTACCATTGTTCCCGTCCCCTGC